TTTACGCCGGTTTTTCCCGAAGTCGCAAAAGTATGACATCACAACATTCTGATTGGTCACTTGCAATGTTGATCCTGGAACAACCTTTAGTATGATGATCTGTGAATAACACCAACACGAGGATATCAGATCGTGCATCTTCACTCATGTGGCTATCCTACCGTCGCCAGCTGAAGGCCTGCCATGGTCGAAGCTGACTGGAACAACAAATTCTTCCCATCATAACAGGATTGTTGTCAGAACTCTTTGTACCTCATTCAAGGCCACCTGGGTGGCCACCCTCCCTCCCCCGAATCCAACGCCTCCTCCCATGCTTACCTCACATCCGGTGTGGACACCGGATCAGCTGGAGGCGCAATCGAAGATTGCAGTGGACCCAGATCAGCTGTACACACTGGAACACTCTCCCATGTTGTTTGTCTGTGTTTTATTGTGTTATGGTGTATTGATATCTGTGCATTCCTGGATTATCCTTTTGTGTTACACATTTCGATGTTTTTTTTTTCCCTTGCTACCTGGCCTGTCTCCCCAATGTGATGTTTGTGTATTCTATGTACGGTCGGCAAGGTCTGTCATCTCGGTTGTGGGCAACTGCAACTGACAAATAAAGGCTATCTCATCTCTCTCATCAAAAAACACTAAAGTAATACCTCGAAAAAGTTGTCTCTAATGTAGTGAGCCATCCCTTTCAAACATGTCTCAATGGCTTTAGGGAACTGTGAAGTGTTCTTCAGCAGGTCCAAGTCCACCCCGAAAGCAACCTGAGATTTATCAAGGAAAAACACAAACATGAGGAAACATTATTTGGATAAAGATTGCTGTAAAAGCTGTAAAACTGACTGTAATATAAAACCTTAGTAATAACATCCAGGGTAACATAGTTGACAAGCTGGAGCATATTAGCTTCTGTTTTACTGTCGGCAACATCTGCAAGTTTATCCATCAGTTTCTCTGCCCTCTCATTGAAGGTTCCCATCAGACCTCTCAGATACCTGGAAGTAATGATAGCTTTAACCGGAGGAGCCAGAACCTGCCAACAAACTACCACAGAAATTCATTTGGAAAAAAATCAGTGGTTGAACAAACAAACTCTTGTCTGTTTGTGATAACTGAAACTCACAGGCTGCTGAACGCAGGGTCCATGATCCGGCGCTGTTTGTACCACTGCTCATGATCCCGTGCTGTTACCAGGCCATTGCCTAAGAGCCTTCAAAGAAGACCGTTGACAAAATACGTTATTTTATTCCTCTGAGTTTTAGTTACTGTTAGTTTTGCTTACTGTTGGCATTCAGGTTGCATCTAATCTAAATGTTCCTATCTGGTCCTCGTATAGTTTTAAGCTGTGCGTGCCATCTGCTGTCTTCTCTTATTATCCTGTGAGTATATATTTTCTCTGTCTCCCTCTGTTCATTGCCACGTTGCCCCTCTTCCCTCATGGTTGTGTATTACCTTATTCTGTGTTTCCCAGAAAATTCCTAGTGTTTGGATTCCTCGTTCCTGCCCAGTTATTGTTTGAAATTTTATGATTTTTTTTGCTAGATTTGAGTTTATGTTCTGTCTCCTGAATCCACATCCTGCCTGCCATACAGCGAATACATGACAGAACGACGCGATCCTGATGGACTCACCGAGCTTTCTCAGACTGCCTCCACAGTGAGGGACTTTTTCCCTTAAGTTCTTCTGCCCAAGCTGTTTTTTCCTGAGATGTTTTGTCAAAGCCAAGAATTATTTAAGCTCAGGCTGAGCCTACTAAACCATCAAACATCAAGACTCAGGGATCAAAGGATCAGCCACTAACCAGAAGGTCGGTGGTTCAATCCCAGGCTGCTCCAGTCTGCATGCCAAATATCCTTGGGCAAGATACTAACCCCATGTTGCTCTCCGATGCATCCATCGGAGTGTGAATGTGTTTGAATGTTAGTTACTTAGCACTTAAACTTAGAAGTGCTTGTGTGAATGGGTGTGATTGGGTGAATGAATTAGCTGTATAAAGCGCTTTGAGTGCTCGGACAGAGTAGAAAAGCGCTATATAAGAACCAGTCCATTTACCATTTACTTTCAGTTCTGCACAAACAAAAATATTTCTGAGTATCAGCACAGACTTTCAGAATTGGTGCATCCCCACAAAAACACGAAATAATAACTCCTCTTAAATGTTTTAAAGCCAAAGTAACGAGCCTGTTTTGAAAATGTAATGAGTGAAAAGTTGAGATATTTGCGTTAAAATGTTGGAGTAAAAGTAAAAACTTAAGTAAATACCAAAAAGGCTACTTAAGTATGTGATAAAGTATTAGTACGTCATTGATTCCCATCTCTGCAGTACAGTCAGTGTTGGGGAGTAACGGAATACATGTACCGCCGTTACGTATTTAAAATACAAAATATGAGTAACTGTATTCTGTTACAGTTACCGTTTATAAGGAATGTATTTAGAATACAGTTACTTTGTTGAAATAAATGGATTACACGGCCGTCTTTTCCTATTTCATATGTTAGGCTATGCCCTCTCTATTTTTGGTAATTCCACGCCGGTGGAAACCCAAACAAAACACGCATTAAGAGGCTCAAATGCCCGTGTCTCATAATGACGTGAAGAAATATTTTTTAAATGATTTAATATGAAGGTAATGGGCAGAGTGTTACAGGCATAGCCCTAAAGAATGTAGCCTGATGGGCAGTGTAGTCCGTGCTGCAGGGAGAATGGACTGTCATACCCGTTATGTGTCTGTGAGCGAGGGAGGGAGAAAAAGGAAAAGTACGAGCTGTCATCGAGCAGAAACGGGAGCTGGAAGCATGTAAATATAATAATAACCACTGCAGCCAAGAAGAGAGCCTGACGAGCCCAGTTGTAAGTAAGCTATTAAGACTCGACTGTACACTGTGCTCCTGTTTTCTATTGGAGCAGCCTTTCAACTCCTCTCTCTGTCTCTCGCTACCAAAGTGACCCAGACAACAAAGTAAAGCTAGTTTTTGGCTAAGAGCCCGACATGAACTCGACGTATTAGCCAGAGGTCCCTTTACTACGGTTCGGAGCCGCGGACCTGTTTTATATACGCACAAATAGTTTTCTATACGAGATCGCTGCAAAAAGTGCAGCCTTACCTAATGTCCACCTACTGTTACTCATTTATATTAAGATTTAAAAATCTAGTTGCTAATGGTATGGTGAGTAGCCTTCAGTAATAGTAATAAATCACACAGCAATAGGACATTCATTAGTTGTAAAAAAGCATGATAATATATTAAGTAATCCAAAGTATATTACTTATATATTAAGTAATAACAAAATACATTTTGGGGCATGTATTCTGTAATCTGTAGTGGAATACATTTCAAAAGTAACCTTCCCACCACTGAGTACAGTGGTGGTCTGTATTATACCTGCGTGTCTTAATCTTAGTCCAGGTGTTAAACAAATAACAGTATTGCAAAGCTCACTTCCACCTCTAAATGTTGGTAAATGAATGCAAAGTATCACACTGGTATCTGCTGATATCTGCCTTTGTTGATCGACTCCAGTCAGTAACCGAAGTTAAAACGATATCAGTAACAGCACAGCCTTTTAGAACTGGTGCATCGCTACAAAAAAGCGCCTGATAAGGCAGTCTTACCTTTGACCAAACAGGTTGGCAAGTCTCTTATAAACAAGTTTATCTTTGGGGTATTTTGGGGACATCAATATTTGCTGAAGCCAGGAGCAGAAAGACAGAAAAACATTTTTTTAGAGAAAGAAGATTTGATACGAATATTATCAGGAGTTATGCTTAGTGAAACCAAAATGTCAGTAGTTCACACTTTGAAGTTAAGGGCAGGATTTGTGCCAAGCACTTTCACACACTCAGTGGCGGTCCTAGCCTGTTTGGCGCCCTGGGCGAACGGATGATCTGATATCGCCGTGTTGGTGTTGTTCCTGGAACAGCATAGTAAATGTTGTTCCAGGATCAACATTGCAAGTGACCAATCACATTCTTGTGACGTTATTCTTTGGCGCGCCAAGCCATTCGTGCATTTATGAAATTCCAATGTTGCAAGGACAATATCAATTCTGCTTAGTGTTTATTAAAGGGTTAGGGTTAGGGTCCGTTGATCGCAGCTTAAGTACAGTTTTTTGTTTTACCGCGCTTTTTCCCGAAGTCGCAAAAGTATGACGTCACAACATTCTGATTGGTCACTTGCAATGTTGATCTGGGAACAACACCAACACCACGATATCAGAGCGTGCCTGGGCGAACACTCCCTCTGGCGCCCCCTCTGGCGGAATTATAAAGTGGAATTGCAAAGCGCTTTGAGGGTCTCAAAAAGTGCTGTATGAAAGCAATCCATTATTATTTAAACCAACTGTTAACTGTATATTTCTGTACATTTAAGTATTATTATTC